AGAATATCTGGGAAATGTTGATACTGTTTGGATTCTAGGCTATATACCCAAGAGTATTTATTACTAGGAAAACAGTTTCTTCGGCAGCCATGGCTCCCTGAAGCTATGGAGCTGATCAATGGGGATAGTAAGAACTGGAGGAAACTACCCAAGTGTCTGCAGGGAAGAGTAAATGTAATGGGAATGAGGGAGTCCTCAACTTGCAATGGGTCCGTTTAGCGACTATTCGAAGTTACAACAGTACTGGAAAAAAGTGACTTATGAGAACCCAACATGACCATTGCGGCAACCTATAGTCACGAGATCCAAATTCAAAATTGCGACCTTCTGATAAGTGAACTCAATGGGGGGACTGTGTTACTAGCTGCAGCAATTCATTTAACAGCTGCGGCAGGCAAAGTCGTAAAATGGGGCAAAACTCACTTCACAAATGCCTCGCTTAGACACAGAACTTTGGGGCTCAATGGGACGAAGGCTACCTGAAGCTCGAAGAGGGGCAGTCTTGCCAAAAGCAATAATGCAATGAGCGTGCGTGCCCCACCCCGCGCATGCCCCCCGCGCCCACGCATGCGCACAAGATGCCCCACGCAACCCTCCCCAAAAATAAGACCGGGACTTATATTAATATGCATTAGGTCTTATTTTCTAGTTAGGTCTTATTTTCTAGTTAGGTCTTATTTTCTACTTAGGTCTTATTTTCTACTTAGGTCTTATTTTCTACTTAGGTCTTATTTTCTAATTAGGTCTTATTTGGGGGAAATACGGTATTAAATGTGTCTGCCTAGTTGATGATTTTAATTGGGTCTTGTTTTGGGGTAGGGCTTATATTACGAGCATCCTGAAAAATCATGTTAGGGCTTATTTTCTGATTGGGTCTTATTTTCAGGGAAACAGGGTATTTAATTATACATGATATTATTGTATCACAGATTTGCAGATGCGGATAGGACACGACTAGGACACGACTTTGGGCTCAGAAATCCCTTCAGTGTGTTTCTCCAGATGGGCCTTAATGCACAACTTGGGATTCCTTCTAAATGTACTGCTCTTGCTGGAAGAGTATGTGGCAGCTATGGTTAGGAGGGCTGGTGTAACCAATGCATTCTTTTTTTTTAGACTAACCCACTTTTACTATGGGCACTGATTCATTGCACCTCCCATTTGGACTATCACAGTGCAAAGCATATGTCTTGTCTCCTGCAGTAACTAAAGCTGGTCCAGAATACAGCTTTGTGAGTAGCGCATCCACATATCACCTCTCTATGACAGGCTGCACCAATTACAGTTGATTTGGGGGTACATTTTGAAGTTCCAGCTGTGTTCTATAAAGTCCTTCAAGGATCAGGCTTCAAATTCAAGTTCAATTTTAGAATAGAGCTGGACGGGACCTTGGAGGTCTTCTAGTCCAACCTCCTGCTCAAGCAGGAAACACCATTCTATTTCAGATAGGTGGCTGTCCAGTCTCTTAAAAACCTCCAAAAAACCTCAAAACCTAAAAAGAAAACCCTACTCAACTTCTGGTGTCCAGCTGTTCCACTGATTGTTAATTTCTCCTTAATTCCAGGTTTGCTTCTCTCCTTAGTTAGGTGTCCATCCATTGTTTCTCATCTTGCCTTCTGATGCTTTGGAAAATAGGATGACACTCCCACCCCACCTTCTTTGTGGCAGCCCCTCAAATACTGGAACACTACTATTATTTTACCCCTAGTCCTTCTTTGCTCTAGATTGGCCATATGCAAATATTCAGTATTTATGGAAATGCTGGCCTCAGCATTATGCCAGTCTGTCCTATGAGACCTGGCATGCTGGGCATACTCCAGGCCCATCTATAAAATAATTTCACCTTGTGGGACGCTGGAGGTGTGTTGTCCCTGTTGTTGCTTCTCCCCTCTGGAGTAGCATTTCCCCTCAAAGCCATTTGGACAAACACAGGTACACATACATAGATACACACACAGAGACACACACCTGATCCTGCTGTTCTTCAGGGAAACAGCATTTCTGGGTCAATCTGTGAACCATTTGAACAATAGCTGTTTGAATATTTGCACATTTCCCAAAATGCTATTATTTTATTTAGCTCTGCCTTGATTCCTAGGTCTTCTTTTGATATTGTTTTTAACCTATTCAGCATTGCCTTATCATGAACACACACACACACACACACACACACACACACACACACACTTTTCTTTCTTTACCTTGCAGAGTGAAAATTGAAAGTCTGCAGTGCCTCCCAAAGAAAACAGAGAATTTGGGTCCTCACGGCAGACCTACCATCCAGCAGGCATACCCCATTCTGCAGGCAGGCTAGCTAAACTACACGGCCTGGTTATTTCCTCCCCTCTTCCCACCCACCCCACTGGAAAAATTTCTTCTCCAAGCAAAACAGCTTCTGCAAAAGGCAACCCTGAAGCCCTCATGCCTGGACCCTTCATCTATGCAGGAGGAATACGAAAGCCATGTTTGGTCTCAATTGCATGTTTTTTTACCAGAGCACAAACAAAAGCTTTGCAATGAGATCAGCATCTGATTTGAGGAGCAGCGGGTTTGGTGGCGCGGTAACAATGAATGTTTACTTCACCAACTAGCTGTACTCTTTGCTACCCAAGGGACGAGGAAGTAATTTAAAACCTCCCTTTAGAACCGCGAAGCTGGAATTCACGCTCCTCGGAGGATACACTCTGTTCAAGGCAGGAAGAGAAAGCCAGACAACGTTAACTGCTTCAGTTCCCTGGATTTGTCTAGACAAGAGTCTTAAAAGGGAATAGGGAAAACTGCACCCAGTGCTTCAGAAGTCCCTCATGTAGTTAAAATCCAGCAGACTTTTGGAAGAATGACTGCAGAATCACTATGAATTCACACACTGAAAACATCGGCCCAATTATAGCCACTGGAATGCTGTTTTAGACTAATTTCAAAGGTAATTTCCAGAGATAAAGAATCAGCACAGGAGGCTTAATACCACGGCAAAAAAGAAAAAGGCAGAGATAGGGGAAGGAAAAATTAATTATCTTCTTGCACAAATCATATCTCGTGATGGCAGAGGTTCAGAAGTGGTGCTGGGAGGCCGGGGTGGGTGGGAGGAAAGCATGGGAATGGATGCTGAATGCAGCACTTACTATCCTTAATCACTAGCAAAACTACAAAGCATGTAAAAACTGAAATAAGCAGGTGAGGAAATGCCTGTTAATGCACACAGCTAGCATCATTTAAATGGATTTCCAAAGTCCACATTCCTTCCCCTACTTTTTATAGCAGGTTTTTTTTACAATACATAAGCTATTTCCTTCTCTTAAGGGATCAGAAAAGATCCAATGGTCAGCATTGCAAAAATGAAACTAAAAGTCCCCTTCAAACGGAGTTCATTTATTTATTGGTGACTTAGGAGGACACACTCATGAAAACCCAGGTTTCAAGGTCGGCACCCTCACCTTGGAGAAGTAGCCGACAAGGTGACAGCCCTTCATATCATTTTGCGTCAGCACGTAAAAAAGAAATGGCTCCACATCGTAGTAGAGAGTCTTATGGTCCAGGAAGAGTTTTGCCAATAGACATAAGTTCTGGCAGTAAATAGTACTGACGTTGCCATCCACCTTAAAAGAAAAGCAGGTTAATTCATCAGAAAACCACAATGAAACACCATATCCTGGCCAAATAATATTAGAGCAAACAAGGGAGATAACATCCATTTTTGAAAGCATTAAGAGAAAGAGAGCAGTTGGAAAGCATCACTACTCTGACCTTTGGTCCTCCCAAGGCAACCCATATTTTTTAAGCTTAGCAACCACTTAGATTTGCTTATATGGCCAAGAATTTATAACCCTATTTAAAGAGTCACTAAAACGGCTATGCACTACTCCTAACTTATGAAACAGAACTCTTTTTGGAAATGGTATTTAAAAAGCCAATTTAGAAGGCTGAAATTTACAGCAGAAACATGTGAACATAAATTAAATTCTCACTCACAGTATCTTCACTAAAAATTGCTGACTGCCCACGTCTCTGCAAACAACATACTTAAAGACTATTCAAAATATATTTCTGTGTTCTAGAGCCAGTTCCTACTCCTTGGTTCTAGAACTTGCTGTCCAAAAACCATGACCTGAGAATTCCCTCTGAAGGGGGTTGATCCAACCATGGGAAACAAAAAATTCAATGTAAACACACTGTATAGCTTATATTGTATATTACTATTGTACTAGTTGTAACACAGAACAAACAGCAGTTAAGAGCTGTTGAAATTTACCTCGAAAACTGAAACATTACTCTTTCTATATATTTCATTGGCTGGGGGATGAAACCAGCCACATTTCTTCGTGTGCTGCTGGAGAATAGTTCTGCTTTTCATGTATTTGAGACAGAATTCACAAATGTACAACTTGGGCAACCTGAAAAAATATAAACCAGTTAATACCCACTCAGCGCTAAAGAAAAAAGACAAAAAAATAAATGAACAACCTTGGACCAAAATACATACATGGTTAGGAAAAAATGATAAGGCAACACATTGATTTTAAACCAGAAATATTTTTGTTGGGTATTTTACTAGAACAATCTAATAAAGGGAATACATACTGAATTTTACATGTATTAACAGCAGCAAGAATTGTCTTTTCACAATAGTGGAAAAATGAAGAGATCCCTTTAGATGAAAATGTTATAAAAATATTGGCAGAGATGGAGAGATTAACACTAACAATAAAAGAGAAGGAAGAAAAAGAATATTTTTTAACATGGGACCTGTTTTACAATTGGCTAACAGAAACAGAGGTTAGAAATTAAACGAGACCAAGAGAGTGATTAATTATATAGGGAAAGCTTCCTAGTATGGACAAGCCAATGTTACTATTATGTGATTATTATCAATGTTATATATACTATGATTGCTATTATGCTTATTGATTTTTTGTTGTTCAAAACTAACTGTATTCAGACAACACGCTATTCATATAGACATTGAGGTTTTTTTTATGTTTATTAAAGAAAAATGTATCAATAAAATATAGGTATAGGTAAAGTTTCCCCTTGCACATACATACTAATTGCTCCCGACTCTAGGGGGGCAGTGCTCATCTCCATTTCAAAGCCGAAGAGCCAGCGTTGTCCGAAGACGTCTCTGTGGTCATGTGGCTGGCATGACTCACCGCCGAAGGCGCATGGGACGCTGTTTTCTTCCCACCAAAGGTGGTTCCTATTTTCCTACTTGCATTTTTTAGGTAATTTAGAACTGCTAAGTTGGCAGAAGCTGGGAAAAGTAACGGATTCAAACCACCGAGTGCCAACCTTTCTGATTGACAAACTCAGCGTCTTAGTCACCCAGCCATCGCATCCCTTCAATAAAATATTATATCTATATCTCTATCTATCTATCTCTCTATCAATCTAGTGTTTTCTCTTAAGTAATTATTCACTGGACAGTATTGAAGCAAAGAGATACAGGAGCAGATGGAGCCCTGTAGAGTAAGCGAAAGACTACCTAAGCTGACTTCCGGTGTGATACAGGGAGTCCAAGCTCAAAAGTGAGCAGTGTAAAAATGTTACAGGAAAGTAACTAGAGACTCAATATTGGATATTACCAAACTTATTAATTTAACTATACACCAAGCACAACACTCAAATAGGCTCTCTCATATAAAAGCATCTCTTAAAAGGATTCAAAGCTCTTTTGAAAAGTGAATTTAGGAAACTGATTGTTGTAAAAACATTTTATCTGCATCTTTATTTCTTTATCTGCATCCTTCTTCTGCTTATTACACTGCTGGCTACTATTTCCTTTCTTCATCTGATACACACCCCATTTTTAGGAGAGGGCAAGAGCTTAAAACATGTGTAACGGATAAACATGTAATAGCTGTTATTTTATTTCCAGCAAAGGCAAAAAGTTCCAGTGGGCAGCACAACGCACATCATCAAAAGTGCTTCGTACCTGGAATATTCCTGTGGATATGGAGAAGAATACCAGGTGTGGATTTCATATTTTCCAAATTCGATGACTGATGGGCAGCGGACCTGGGGGTCATGTGCCCCTGACACTCCTACTTTCTGTAAAAAGAAATAAACAAATTTAATCCCCTCAATTTTACTCCACAGATTTGAGAATCTAGTTAAAAAAGCAACAGGGTTATGTGAGAAAATAAAACATTACATAGGAAAATGGTTATTAACCCAGTCATACTTCATATTTCTGGAAATGTTTGTTATTGTAATGATCCAGGCAATGTGCATAAGGAAATTAAATTCCCCTTATCATTCTAAGGAAATAAATGTCCTGGGATTGTATTTATTTATTTATGTTTCATTTATTTATTTGCTAAATTTGTATGCCACTCATTTTGCAGTTAGAATAGAATAGAATTATTTCTTGGCCAAGTGTGATTGGACATACAAGGAATTTGTCTTTGATGCATATGCTCTCAGTGTACATAAAGAAAAATAAAATAGAATACATTCATCAAGAATTGTAAGATATAATTAGTGAAAGTCATAAATTACTAATAAGNGTGTCTCTCCGAGATTCCTTGCCAAGTTTTGCAGATCTCGGCCTGGCAGCTCTCCAAGCCAGATAAGGTCTGTGACTGTAAATCCTCCCTTGAAAGACTTTGCTGGACGTGAATGAGCAGAATTCACGGGGTTTTTGTTGGGACCATGAGTTTGCTTCATGCTCTTGGGAAGCCTCAGTCAGAACCATTGATCAAATCAACAAAGCTAATTAGAATGATTCTTCACCTTCAAGTCAGGGAATCCATCATTCATTATGTGACCTGGCTTTATAAAAAGTAAACTTGAGTCGCTTCCTCCCATCCCAAGATCAACGGGATCAGTTAAAACAAAGTAGCTCTCATAATTAAGAGGGTTTTCCTCCCCAGACTTCAAATCAGTGTTTACCTTGAGCAAGCTGATGATGAAAGTCAATTTAGAGACTTGTTTGAAGCCCTAGGATTCACTCAGCTTTTCAAATACACCAGACAGCAACAAGATGGTAAACAAGCAATTACTTAAAGAAGGTAAAAAAGAACGGGAATGCCAGCCAGAAATTGTTATCAGCGCATAGCGTTCGTTTCAGATAATGAGGACGGAAATGTCAGCATCCCTTTAGGGCACATCATGTGTGCAGCTCACTTTCAGAGACAGAGGAAACTGCCTGCACAAGTGAGCGTCTTCTCATTTAAATATGGGGGAGAGAATGAGTAAAGAGGTACTTAGTTTGGCTTTGAAAATGGAAATTCTCTTCCTCTCCAGAAAGCACTGAATTGCTTTATATTTCCTGTCATTGCCATTAAGTCCAGATAAGGTACTTTTGCTATCTAACTGAATTTGGCTACTAGTTGGCTTCCGTGCACAATTCAAGATGCCTTTTTCAAAATAAATCAATCTGCATGTATCAGATTTTTCTGGTCTTTTGAGATCAACTGAAAAAAATAATCAGCTTACTTCTTCTTTCTCAAATAATGTCTGAAGTTTCAGGTTGGTACAGAAGTACACAATTCATTTTTTCTAGACACAACAGTAGTTTGCAACTCAAACGTCACCTCTTTGTTCTGTCAACCAAGGTTCGAAGGCAGAATCACAGAATTGCCATCGATTCCTCCTTTGCAAAATGGATTACCGTATTTTTCGGAGTATAAGACGCACCTTAGTTTTTGGGGAGGAAAATAAGAAGGAAAAAAAACTCTGCCTCTGCCTTCTAGCATCCATGGTATTCAGCTGACACGAGGTAACAAGGTCAGCCAATGAATAGGCATAGCAACTAAGTCAGCCAATGAGGGCTATTTGGATTCTGAAACAGTATTTGCTGTGTGAGCTACAAGGAGACTGGAAGGAGCCTGGCTTAGCTGAGTACTGAAAGTGAAACTGCTTGTGTTTTGCTTGTATTGACTGCTACCTTGGAAAACTTGCTTTTGGTATTGTATATTATTATTAGTTACTTGTGTGTGCTTTCTGAATGTGATTGCTGCTGCAAACTCTGACTAGCCAGATCAGCTTTAGCACTTACTGCAGCCTGATTCAGCACAGCTGATTGGCGAGTGCCAGAATAGCCCCAATCAGCTGTTCCAAGCTGCAGGGATTGCCACAGACCATCGCTGCCTCCGTGCCTCGCATTTTTGGCCACTGGTAGGGGTGAGTGGGGCTACATTTAGTGCATAAGATGCACCCAAATTTTCACCCTCTTTTTTGGGGTGGGTGGGGGAAAGGTGTGTCTTATACTCTGAAAAATACAGTAATCCAAACTTGGGACAAGTCAAAGGCTCTAGAAGCAGGGATGCCCAACCTTAGCAACTTTGAAGGCTGGTGGACTTCAACTCCCAGGATTCCCCCGTCGGTGGATAAATAGATACCACTTTGGTGGGAAGGTAACAGCGTTCTGTGCACCTCGGGTGTATAATTATGCCAGCCATGCAACTATGAAAGTGTCTTTGAACAACCCTTGGTTAAGAAATGCAGATGAACACCGCCTCTACAGACAGACATGACTGGATAGGGAAATCTTTGCTTGTTTGTTTGGCTGGTAACTAGCAAGTGACCACAGGGCATCTCCAGACAGCCACTGGAACTCCCCTCACATTCCTCTCTGAGATTCCAGCAGGCCACTCTGACACCACCCCCACCCCCCAAGGCTGATGGACCTAAACAGAGGTGTAAAAAGATAAAGGTTTCCTTCGCACATATGTGCTAGTTGTTCCCGGCTGTAGGGGGTGGTGCTCATCTCCATTTCAAAGCCGATGAGCCAGCACTGTCCGAAGACGTCTCCGTGGTCATGTGGCTGGCATGACTCAATGCCGAAGGCACACAGAATGCTGTTCCCTTCCCATCGAAGGTGGTCCCTATTTTTCTACTTGCATTTTTGCCTGATTTCGAACTGCTACGTTGGCAGAAGCTGGGACAAGTAACAGGAGCTCACTCCGTTACGCGGCGCTAGGGATTCAAACTGCTGAACTGCCAACCTTTCTGATCAACAAGCTCGGAGTCTTAGTCACTGAATTACCGCATCCCTAAACAGAGGTGTAACAGCACCACAAGTCCATAAAGTAAAGGTAAAGAGTCCCTGTGGATTTTACTCAGCTAGTTGTTGCTGACCATAGGGGGTGATACACATCTCAGTTTCAAGGCCATTCAGCCAGTGCTGTCTGAAGACATTTCCATGGTTCAGTGGCCAGCATGATGTCACGGAATGCTGTTACCGTCACATCAAAGTGGTTTGTCTGTCTATCCTTCCTTCCTTCTTCCTTTCTTTCTTTCTCCTTCCTCCTCCTCCTCCTTTTAGCCATTATCTATCCACTGCAGAATGAAGGCCTCTTCCATGTATTTCCAACAAATATAGTCCTGAGCTTTCTTTTCTTTTTATTTTCTATTCACATTTGCACGCTTTCAAACTTCTAGATGGGCAGAAGATGGGAAGAGGATGGGAGTTCATCCTATCACGTGGCGCCTGAGTCTCAAACCTCTGGACTGCCAGCTTTTCAGAGAAGCCCAGCCTCTTAACTGCTGAGCCACGCCACTATTATATAACTATGATCTAAATTAGCAACAATTTACCGGAATGGATGTCTGGATAAAAACAAGTTTCAGATTTAAAGCCGGAAGATTGTTAATTTAAGATTGCTGAAAGGACATGCAACGGGGGAGGGGGGGAGACACTGATGTAAGACACACGCAATAAATGAAACATTTATTTTCACAGAAAACAGCTAAGAGGCAGGGAAAAAAGGTTTCCTGGAATTGCAAAATAGAGCCAATTCAGGTAAAGAATCCTTTTGAAGTCACATCCTGCCAAATGAGTTGCAAGAGAATTGTACACTCTGCAAATCGTAAAGCCAAGTTTTAGATGAGGGGGATTTTTTTTTAAAAAACCAACAATTTAGAAAAACAAAGAATAAGAAGGGGCTTACTGAAGTCAATGAGGAATCTGCCATAGCCCTTGCGTTGGTACTGGGGAAGAATCATGATGCAAGAGACGTTGTATTTCTGCTGGC